CCCGTACACACAAATCACATATGCAAATCGATTATACTCAATGTTCTAGACTCAATGGAACTGTCGAAACACGAATCTTAAGTCTCCTTGATCCGACAACCGTGAAGACCACAAGAACTAACACAACGCCTTAAAAGGCAAAAATATGCTCAGGACCTCTCAAAAATCAACCAAGACCTCACCTAGGCCCAAATCATCCTCGAATCCAACGGTACTCTTGAAATTTCAATTCGAGCATCCAAACCCTGAATATTGATTAACGTCAACTCAAATGCTAAATTCTCAACAATTTCCAACTTAGGATCTCAAATCCTCAAAAAGGCTCCAAATCTGAAATCGACAACTCTCATAGATTAGATTCCACATTCCAGGACTAATGGAATCGTCAGAATTTCATTTTGACACTCGAAACTCGAAAAGACACCAAAAACTACTTTTTAACAAAATTAGCCTTTCAAACTCAAATCTTACCAAATTCTCAACTTTAAACTCAAAGTTTGAAACCATATTTCAAAACTCAATCATAAAAGACCCGTGGTCGATATCAGGAGGGGCAAAACGATAAATTCACGCAACTTTCCAAAAATGACCAACCGGGTCATTACATTGATCTTCTACTCTTCTTCTTCTTGCACTTATTCTTATGTAATTTACTGTCATTTAGTATGAATTTCAGCAAATTTGAGGTACCACTATTCTATTGAAGTATATTATTCTATCTTGTGAGATATATTTCATAACCTTGGATACTTGAGGAAAATAAATTTCTTAAAAATACGTTGTGTATTAATTTATCGTCGTTAAGTGAGTTAGAAATTCAGTGAATAATTATTTTATGTTTTGTCTCATATATAAACTTTATAAGAAACATTACTTAAATATCATTCTTAACAACCTAATCAAACTTTTATTAATTAGAAAAAGAATTGGCTGTGATTCCAATCCAAAGCAAACCACTGGTCAACTAAGATGAGACTCTAACCTACTCTAACATCCACCCCATCCTACCCCACCTCCTTCGTGTCGAGGCCCAACTAGAACATAAACCAAGAATTCAAATGGGGATGAACATGCCTCTTAATACCATGAAAAGATATAGTTTAGAAAATAACTTGTTATATTATTCCAAGAGGTAAGCAATATAAATACACATAAGGTTCTAACTAAGGAAAGACATAAAAAAAATTCCTATAAATCTGTTATCTATATATATGTGTGTTATGTACATTTCTAGGAAATAGTCTTCGTTCATTATGTAGCAACATTAACGCTTGAAAAATAATTTGTAGCTTGTTCAATAGTAATTAATGATACATTAGGTACCTTATATAGAGGTACTGCTAAGAATAACTAAGTTGTCGTTGTTGCATTCAATAGTTATAAGGGAAAAAAAAAGAGACCAAAATAGAAAATATTTAAAATTTAATATTATACTTAATTCATATAGAAAGTATTTTAAGGATAAATTTGAAAAAAAGAATTTTTTATTTTATGAAACATTAATTATTTTAAATTAATCTTTTGAGAGTCGGACAAGAGAAAATATTTAAAATTTAATATTATACTTAATTCATATATAAAATATATTTTTTGGATGAAAACATGACTTTTTGCCAACTATAAACATCGTAGCTTTTTAATGGTGTTTTACTTTTGACAAATTAAAGCCTGCTAGGAGTAGACTGGGCAAAAATTATGTGAGATTATCAATCACTCTATTTGTAGGTGTACTCGAATGGACCTCATTGTGTATTTTTTTCATGTAAAACCAAACTTTGACCTTTTAAATAATTTTAAAAAATATCGTTTGTTAGATTTTTTGAAATTTTTCTGAAGCCATGCAAAAACAATATACTTTTATTTCTTGTCATAAGCTTATTACAAAAAAAACTGGTTTTTGTTGAACGTCCCATATATTTTTGTATAAATTCGTTAAAATAATTAATATTTCATAAAAATATGTATGTAATGAGTAGTAAAATACAATAAATATAATTTTTTTTTAAAAGTTGTTATGAAATACCAAAAGTTATCTCAAAGGGAGGAGGATTGTCCAAACTTTATAAGACGTCCACTGATTAACGTCTCAAATACACCTCATCCAATTCTAGGTGTAGACGATCGTAATCTAGTATATAACCCAACGAAAGGTTGGGGTCGAACCCACAGGGAGCGGTACCGTATTGAATTCTATTAGGAAGTAAAGATGTGATTTTAATCGGTTATAGAAATAGATATTGTCGAAATCAAACAAAATAAGTCAAAGGTTTGACAACAAATGTCAGATGGGGGTTTTAAGATATCAACTAATAACTACAATAATCACTAAAACAGGGAATTAGACAAGTAGGAAGGAATTCTCGGGATGTGATCGATTATAAGCTAATTTCACTATATGGGTAATTGGAGCTTAATAATAAAGTGCTGAATTACTATGGGTAGACTAGACTATAGGTGCAATAGTTTTCTCTCGAACAACTATTACGGTTCAGGCGAGTTCTCTCGAACCTCGACAAGCTTGACACTACAAAACAACCCAAAACCTTAATTTATCTACTCTCTCTAGAGCTAGATAGGTAGGAATGAGTTAAGATTCACTCTCTCGAGCTGAACCCATAACAACCCACCCACTACAATTATCAATCGATAACCTTGGTTTTAGAACCTCTCTCTCTCGCAAGCCCAAAACACTAAGCTAAAATTGCATTTGCAACTACAATTAATAAATTACTACTCAGCTATCGATCAAATCCACATTAAAACAACATTTAAATCATTAAACAACAATACCCATAAGCTAATTAAGCAAATAGTCACATAATCACACCCCAAGAATTGGGGTTTTAGCCAAGCATCATAAAAAGATAGAAATTAATACCAAAAACATTCTCCATGATCTGGATATTGCAATTCAAGTCTTTAAAATGATCCAAAATGCTAAAAACCAAAGACCCATTTCGAATCTACTTGAAAAACCCTTCAAAGTTGTTCTCCAAAGGAAAATACTAAGAAAACTCTCCAAAAACAGAAGAAAACTAAAAATGGACTTCAGTAATAAAACCAGCACTCTTGTGAACTCTGTAAAAAAATCAGTTTATAGTTTCCCAAATTTTAGCTGAAAAGACCAGGTCTTCCTTGGCTTTTAATCCTCAAGGTTCTGTGACTTTAGGCGATCTAGAATGTGTCGCCGATCTAGTCGGCGGTCCACCGAATGTCCAAATCCATCACCAAGTTGGCTTCTCCCCAGGGCTGGCAGTCTGGAACTTTAGGCGAGCTGAAGTGCCACTCGGCGTCGTCGAGTGGCTTTGGTGACTCTCAGCATTTTGCTATCTTCAGCCTTTTTTCATCTTTTTAGCTCCTTTTCGTCCGGTAGTGTCCTTGCCTTGCTTGTTTTACCTTCCTTACTACAAATCAACATTTTAACATCAGTTTGGAGCATAAATTAGGCATTTGAGGACTATAAACTATCAAAACAAAGTCCTAAATGAGTCAAAATCTAGGACTCATCAACCACCCATGTCATTAACCACCAATGTGAGACTTTTGTCATTTTTAACACCCCACCTCACACTCAGTGCTTAACATCTGGTGCGTGGATAATTTAGTTTTTGAGTCCCAACATTGAATGAGATGGACCCTGCTCTAATACCATGTTATAATTCTACAGAATATTGAGAAGGAGGAAGAAGAGAAGAGAAGACAATTGAGGGAGAAGATTATTACTGAAAGAGAAAGTAATTCTTCTTGTATTATTTTTCAATAGTAATTAATGATACATTAGGTACCTTATATAGAGGTACTGCTAAAAATAACTAATTATACCTACACTGTTAAGAAGTTAATAACTAACTAATCCTGAAGTTAGTTATAACTAACTTGTTATAATTGCATTTTGAAAGTACTCGTTGGAAGCCAATAAGACTTATATCAACTATATTTGTAGGAAGGAAAATCAATTCATAGCCACGAGCTAACACACACAAAAAGATATATAATATGGGAGAATATTGTGCTAAACGAAATGAAGTTCTTTTCTTAGTATATTTAAATTGTGTGACTTTTGAAAGATGCACCAAAAAGTAGAGAGATATCTCTTCATATATTCTCGGAATCAAATTAAATAAATTGAAATAGAGGAAATAGCAAATAAGGAAAGATGTATTGACAAAAGAAGAAAAAAAAATGCAATTGAATAATGACACAAGAAGAACTCAAACCATGCCTTTGCTTGGAAATAATCCTTCATGAATGCTACCAATTGATTATTATAAGGACTCTTGAATTCTAAAAAATAGCACTATATATATGTTTTTTATTTGCACAAATGCCCTACAACAACCTCCAAATTGTTTCTTCTTCACTATTATAATTTAGATAAAACGTCAAAGTTAACTATTATTGAACAAATCTTGATGTTTTGAAGTGAGTTTGAAAATTTGAACCTGATGTTGTGTTATTTGAAATTGTTGAAAAATAGGAATTTTTGGAGGTTGAATACAAAACTTTTTGAGATCATCATCGTTGCTGAAATATTATCAAAACGTCGTAACAAATATTTAAATATCTTCGATAGACATATGTCATAATGTTTGAAATATTATATCTCGTGAGATCAATGTTTAAAAGAAAAACGTGGGGACAATCAAATGGAGAATGAATATTTTTATTGGCACCATTACTCAAAGCAACAAATGAAAAATCTAAACATCAAATGCTATACTTCAGAAACAAAGATAAAGTTTTTCTATAAATTGCATTACCTGATTAAAATATAACCAAGTATGTTTCCAAATTGAACATGAATAAATTAAAACAACTCATGAGCATTCCAAGAAAAAATAAAATCAATAGTAACAAAATTCATCACTAGGACAACAAACAGTTGCTAAGTTAATTATTTTTGTATCTATAATTAGTAACTTCTTTCAGGTCATTAACTCGAACTTGCACAAGATATATATCCTGTTGTTTAATGGTTATCGCGTAAAGTTGGTTACTCATCATGAGTGTTGGACCAGGAAATATGCTGGCTCAACTTTCGCTACATAGCCAAATTTGGATATGTTATACTTATTATGCACCCCTGTTTTTGCCTTGTCGTGATAGCTCACTATCAATTTTGCACATTCCCTAAAGAATTAAAAAGAAGCTAAATGATCAGAACAATCTTAGGTGGGTGAAAATGAGAATTAGTGTACTCTACTCACATAAGTGAATGATCTTCTGAATACCCTGTATGCCATTCACAGGTTCTACTCCATTCCTTGACGCCATAAAGCGTGCATTGGGCTGTATAGATTGCCGCAGCAGCCATAAATGATGGTGGATGCTTCAACATCTCATATTCCACCAGACAAAGCTCCATTAAGAAGAAAGACAATTCCTCTAGCTGGTATATATATAATTACAACAAAGAACATAACTAAATTAGTTTATAAAGGCCATTACTCATACACTAATACAACTTTTGAATGCAGGGAGTTGCTTCAGAGGCAGGGAACAAAGGAAGCAGTAAAACTAACGGAAGATATAAATTTTGTGGAATGGACAGCTCCACCTTTGTTTTTCACGAAGACTATCAATGCAATGCAGACAAGGAGGAAGCAACTTTTGCTAGGTCTTGTACATATGTATATTATATATGAATAAAATAAAATACGAGCAACTATTTTTAGTGCCCTAACCTTCTTATCAGCTTGAGCAGCCTTGAGAAATCTTCTCATAAAAACATATGGTGTTGGAAATGACATATTGTACTGCAGTGTGCTGAGCATCAATTTCTCCTGCAGTAAAATTAATCAGGAATAGATTTAAATATCAAAATAACTGAGATAATTGCGATGATTATTGTACCATTTCAAGAACGTCTTTTCTGGTGTAGGTTTCATACGAAATAACCACCAATTCATGCACAAGAGGGGGCAAAATTTCCTCGTATTTGCCTGCTATTAGAAAGGCAACCAGACCAACAAGCTGCAGTTTGTTTTTGGCAACAACTTGTTTCTCCAAAAATCTGTCTAACAAATTAACAGTAAGGAATAATGTCTCTTCCTTTAGCTCAAACTTGTCATGTACCTGTTGGTTTATTAGAATAATAATTATAAGAAAGTTAATTTACATTTTAATGGAATGTATACCTTAATTAATTCTGATTATTTCCAAATATTCAATTTAATTACCTCAATGATCCAGTCTATTAGTACACCTCTCATATTGTCATTAATCTCAGACTGTTGTTCCATATAGTTTGGTGAAACACAGCTATAAACCTGAAATTATACAATGGGCAATATTACTTATAAATTTTGTGTCCTCTTAAATTAAAGATATCGTAGATTTAAATTTATGGTCTTAAATATGTCGTGTGGAAAGTTGAAATTAAAGAATTGTCAAAAAAGGAAAAAGACATTCTTACTAACAAATTGAGTAAAATATTTGTAAGGTACTTATTAAATTTCATCTAATGTGTATGTGTTATGTTAATTAAGGAAAAGAAGCAATTGATATTAAAAGTCTTACTTAAATATAAGGTTGATAATTTAAGAAGACAAAGATAAATTTAGTCTTATATTTAAACAATCCATCAATTGGCTAGTACTGAATAATTGAGATATATAGGAAGTGAAAGAATATTTATTGTAGTCTTGTTACAAAAAAAAAAGAGTAGATTTTTCACATAACGTTAGAAATCTAGAAATTTTACTTGATGGTGCGGTCCCATTATCCACCAAGCTTCTAACTAACCTTGCACCACTAACCCTCAAGAATTTCTCGATTAAAATAAAAGAGGGTATTTTTTCATTTGAAACTCAATTAACAATCAAATGATTGAACAAAGACAATATACATGATAAGTTTAACCTACCTCATTACTTGTGAAATTTACCTCCAACAAAGCTGAAATTTTTAGAAGAAGTTTTGCGCACTAACAACATAGATATGTTTATAATACTATCAAATTAAGTTAACCAACAACATATAACTTTTCAACATGTAAACATTATTTGCGCTATATATATAACTTAGATTCTTCTAACGAAACTGGACTAACCTCCATTTTCCTGTAGTAGGCATACAAATCTCCCACATATTCAACACCAGCAAGCGGGTTGTTTGCATCATCGTTGTCAATATCTATCAACGCCTCCTCAAACACATCCTCCATTTCATCCTCCTGCTCATGAGTTTGTAATCATCGCGTATGTATAGAACATCAACGCAAATTAATACCACTAGAAAGGGAAAATAAAAATAAATTTTCTTACAATTTGTGTGACCTTGTCATTTGAGAATGTTTCAGGTTGTTCCAAACACATAGGAACTGGTTGAGCTTCAGTTGTGTCATGCTCTTTCCATATGGTAAAATTTTCAATTGCTGGTTTTGGTTTCTTGTTTTCCTGGTTCAAAATCATTTGAGTACCCTTAAAAAAAGTTTAAAAAAAATCAACTTTTATGTTTTAACTATTCATGTGACATGAGATCGAAATTTTGTACCTCAGGGTAATGTTGGTAATGTTGGTGTAAGGTACCAATTTGTGTAGCACCAAATTTCCTTCATTAAAAAGTTATACTTTATGTATCAGCTAACTAACCAAAAATATAATTAAGCAATAGTGACATTGACATTACTAAAATCTACATACAAAATTAAAAAAAAATAAAAAATAAAAATTTAACGTTTATGGTCTAACTTCATAGAATTCTTGTAATAGATCTCATTTGTTCTGAAATCAAGAAAAAGAAAACCCCAAATAAATTATATAAAATGAAAACACATAAAAAAAATAATAATTTAAAGATTGAACCAAGAATTACTCTGATAATCCACACTTATTAACAACACAAGGATATCGATGAGCTCCGACTAAATTCTGATTAATCACGCTAAGTGCTCTTCTAGTTTGTTTCCTCTCCCCTCCAATCTTGACAATTTGTGCGTTACCACCTTTCATTCATTAAAAAAAAAACATCTTTAATTAAACTGATATTTTGTATACCCAAAATTAAATTAAAAAAAGTGAACAACGTCAATCCAAATAGTTACCTTGCACATTTGTGATTTTATTCTGGTCCATTCTTTGTTGTTGTTGAATAAAAGAACAAATGAAAAGAAGAGAAGGGAGAAAATAATGTTTATTGTATATTATGTCTTAGTGAAACATAGTTAGATGTGATATGCTTTATATATTACAAAGAAAAATATGACCGTTGTGACAAATTAATCCAAACATGGTAGACTGCTAAATTACTTTCTATAATTTCTTGATTTAATTGGATTTTAGTCATGCCTTTATATTCTATACTATGAGATTGTAACTTAATTAACTTGTCATATTTGCTTTATTTTTTAAAAAAAATTTGTAATTGCTATGTAAAGGCAATTAAATGTATAGTTGACCGCTAGTCTAATTACACAAAAGCCTTCACGTAATAGCCGTTGGAAAAATATATCAAAATTATAAATTAAAAAAAAAAAATCATCCTACGATGAAACATAATTTTATTAATTATTTTTACCATATATTATACAACACTGTCGTATTGATGTCTTCTTTACAAAATAGTCTTTTAATTAATTACCAAGGTGACAACTGAGGTATTTAGAAGAAATCGTCTTTAGATGTTATAAAGATTAATTTCAATAGTTGAGTGACTTTTGTAATTATTTTTTGTAATTTTACAAAATTTAATGAAAAATTATTTAAATTGATTGAGTGACTTTATAAGTAAAATAACAATAATTGAGTGACTTTCTAAGTGAAATATCAATAGTTGAGTGACTTTTGAGTTATAAAACAAAGTTGAATGACTTTTTAAGTGAACAACTCAAAGTGAGTGACTTTCTAAGAGAACTATTGAAAGTTGAGTGACCATCTGAAATATTAATTCCTTTTTAAAGGATCATTTGATTCAAAATCAAGATATTCCATTTCCAAATATGAAATATAATTTAATTTCAAAATTTATATCGAAATATTCACCTAATCCCTTGAATCAAAACGCGACTCTGTCCGCTCTTGTCCACTTTTGATTTGAGCTTAATGGTTTTATATGGTCGTAGACTGGTAGGCTTCCAAAATACAAGCGCTAAATTTAGAGCATGACAAAACGGTATGTCCTTTTTGCCCTATATTTCAATCATTTATGGGTATTGTTTTCAATTCACTTGTTTAGTTGTTATTGTATACTATTTCCTTCGTTCAGTTTAGGTATCATGCTTATTAAAAATGAATATATATATTATATATATTGATAGAAGATATATGTCGAAAAGACAAGAGAGTATATATATATATATATTGAAAAAGATTGATAGAAGATATATGTCGAAAAGACAGGAGAGTATTTTTGGTTCTTTTCTCATTAATGATTTACTCACATGTTTTACATATTTATCCTGATTTGATTAGTCATTGTCTGAAATATTTCTCAAATTAACCATACATTCAATTCTATTTCATTCTTTGAATTTTTTTTGAGTTTCATGTTCACTTCTTAGTGACATATATGTAATTGGTTGGAAAATTAAATCCAACCCTTTTTCATGATTACAAGCGAAAAGATAAAAATAGTGAATAAAGGAAAAAATTACTATGTCAACGGAGAAAGTAAAGCTTTTTTATGTTATAGTAATACATTTGATATCTATTACGATAATTTTTAAAAAGTGAAAATTACAAAAGTATACTACTTAAGATTTTAATTAACAAAATATCAATGCACTTCTATTTAATTATAAACATAGTTTTTAAATTACATACATAACAAAATAATTAATTTTTGTATTTAAGTTTATTTATTTTTTCAAATTTTCCTCTCATGCCTTTTGAATTACGTGCATTTAAGGTTGAGATTAATTTGGGATATTAAATTTTTTCAATATTATATCTCCTATTACAGTTCCATATTTACACGTTTCAATGTTCCATATTTACATGTTTCATTGATTATTATAGGGATCATATTTATTTTTTCCTTTTTTGATATAACTTTTTATTTTACCAATAAAATTGGTGTTGTTTTCAATAGGAGAGTTATAGTTCCTAGGAAAGTTTTACCATTTTTCTTTTCTGCCAAATGTCTAACTCCTTCCATATTCTTCTGTTTAAAAATTTTAACCCTTCCATCTTCTTCTTTCCACATTCTTTGTTGAACAATTTTCACTACAGTTCATAGCTATACCATCCGATTCACCACAGTTTCGCCATGGATAGGACTCCGAGTTTGATTTATAATAGAACATTTCAACAGAATTTGTGTGTGATTGGTATAGATTGTATAACAATGTGTGAGATTGGTATGTAATACCAACATGTCAGACACTATATACCAGCATTATTACATATTATATCTTAAGTAGTTGTTAAAAGATTCGATGTATGCTGTTGGTATATAATACCAACATTTCATTCAAACCAAAATCTTTTACTTTAAGTAGTGGTTTTTCAGATTCAATATTTTAGGTTGGTATATGTTACCAAAATATCAGTCAGTATATTTACCCATTTTTATCATTATTTGTGTTTAAACATCTATACCAATTGTGTATGTTTAAGCAATTATACCAATTGTGTATGTTCTGGGTATTATATAGTACAACCAATCATTAGTTTTAACATTTTCAATATTTTGGTATATATTACCAGAATATCAGCCCATATATTTGCCAATTTTTATCATTATTTGTGTTTAAACAACTATACCAAGTTCTGGGTATTATATAGTACAACCAACCAGTATTTTAAATATTTTTTAGCATTATTCAAATATCATATCAAATTATTACGTTAATGATGTCTATTATAAATCAAACACTCACTTTAACTAGCTTTAATTGTATTCAATGTTCTTTTTTCACCATAAGCACGCCAATTGTGCTAGATTTATTTGTATGTTACACTAATATTCACTCATAAGTTATAGCATATTTTTTTTAACATGTTGTCAATTATCTAAGTCACCCAGAATGTAATATTGTATGACAAACACGAGAATATCAAATATGTATGCCAAACAAGAGAGTACCAAAGAAATGTCAATTCAAGAGTAATCAAAGTAGGATAGAAGTGCATTTGTCAGTTTTAAAAAATTCTGAACTGTTGGAAGAAAATATCAACAATAATAATTGAAAATAATACAACAATGTTAATTCTGATAAGCAAATTTGAGGCAAGTCTTTTTGTTATGCCCTGATGTACCACATTTACTACAAGTGACTTTACTCCTCTTGTATTTTCCTGCGTTGAATCCCTTCTTTTGATCGTTACTTGGTGGTCTACCTAGTTGTTTTCTTGCAATTGGTGGTAGCATTACCTCTTCCAAAATATGCAATGGAATATTCCAAGTGCTTTCGCAAGGCAATGGTTCTATTCGAATTGCATAAGTATCTTGAATATTCTTATTACGATAATAGAAGGAACAATAATCTTCGCGATGTTTGTTTCTGTATCTAATAGCTGCAACTGCATATGTACACCATCATTATGTACTAAAAAAGCACCACTATGAATGATACCAAAAAAATCAAAATCACACCAAATAAAAACGATACATTACACCAAATACCTTATCAATCTAAAATATTCAACCAACATAGAATTAATTTGTAAACCATCATTATGTACCAATAAACACCACTCTGAACGACACCAATAATATCTGAATTACACCAAACTGGCAGACCATTATGTTCACAAATTAAAAACTATCATTTTCACCAAATAATTTAACGATATTTTTTACCAATTAACTTACCAAAAACCATAATCAATAAAACTGGTTTCTACTCCTAACTTACAAACCATACAAAACAAACCAAAGAAAAAATACCCCAGAAA